TACATTGCAGAGAAAAAAGAAATTCATTTGAATCCTGTGGGACTTCATTCCTAAAATCTTAGTGTTGATAGGGAATTCACATATCATGAAAGTTGTAATTAAATGGTACAGAATGTTCTTAAGTATTAGGAATTACACATATTTTACAATTTGCCTTATCAAGGGTCACCATTAAATAAATTTGTATGTGTTACTTTAATGAATGGCAAAAGAACTGAAAGATCCACCCATAGCACCACAAAAGGTCTCTGATTTACTAGATTTAGTCTGGCTGAAAAGTTTGTAATAGTTAGAAATGTTTCTCAAACTGACTTCAACCTGCAGTAAATCTTGAAGTTCTGGAAAAACATAGTCATAATGTATAAATTATTTCAGTTCCACAAATATTTCTAGAGTATTGCCTATGTTCGCATACTGCATTAAGAGTTATTAACTGGGGCCTCCCCGGTGGCGCAGCGGTTGAGCGCTGGGTTGCGAAGCTGCACGCGGCCTCTGCGGCGCCGGTTCGATCCCCGGCTGCTCCCCGGCCACCGGAGGAGGGTCCCGCATGGCGTGCAGACCTCTCCTGCAGCCCACTGCTCCCCTCAGCAGTGTACTTCGGTCCCTCTGCCTGCTCTGCTCCCCGCTCTGGCTCTGGTGAATTCTCTCACCCTCCCGCGCTTCTGACTGTACCCAGTGCATGTATGAACAGAACAAACAAACAAACCAGCAAACAAATAAATAAAGCATGCCTCTATTAAAAAAAAATAAATAAAAAAAAAAAAAAAAGAAGAGTTATTAACTGAGAAACCAAAAGCTGGTTCTTCAAAAAAATAAATAAAATAGACAAACCCCTAGCCAGGCTCACAAAGGAAAAACGGGAGAAAATACAAATAAACAGGATCACAAATGAAAGAGGAGAAATCACAATGGACACAGCAGAAATCAAAAGAATAATCAGAAACTACTATGAACAGTTATATGCAAACAAGTTCAACAATCTAGAAGAGATGGACTAATTCCTACAACTCTACAATCACCAAAAGCTAGATAATGAAGAAAGAGAACACCTAAACAGACCAATTACATGCAGCGAAAATGAAATGGTAATCAAAAACCTCCCCAAAAACAAAAGCCCAGGACCTGATGGATTTACAAATGAATTCTACCAAACATTCAGATACAAATTAGTGCCTATCCTTCACAAACTCTTCCAAAAAATTGAGAAGGAAGGGATAATACCAAACACATTCTATGAAGCCAACATTACACTAATACCAAAACCGAACAAGGACAACACAAAAAAAGAAAACTATAGGCCAATCTCTCTAATGAACACTGATGCAAAAATCCTCAATAAGGGCCTCCCAGGTGGCGCAGCGGTTGAGCGCTGGGTTGCGAAGCTGCCCGCAGCCTCTGCAGCGTCGGTTCAATCCCCGGCTGCTCCCCGGCCACAGGTGGAGGGTCCCACATGGCGCGCAGACCTCTCCTGGCGCCCGCTGCTCCCCTCAGCAGTGTACTTCGGTCCTTCTGCCTGCTCTGCTCCCCGCTCTGGCTCTGGTGAATTCTCTCACCCTCCCGCACTTCTGACTGTACCCAGTGCTTGTACAAATATATAAATAAATCTTTAAAAAAAATCCTCAATAAAATTTTAGCTATCAGAATCCAACAATGGATCCATAAGATAATTCACCACGACCAAGTAGGATTCATTCCAGGGACACAAGGATGGTTCAACGTCCGAAAATCAATCAACGTCATCCAACACATCAACAAAAAGAAATATAAAAACTATATAATAATATCAATAGATGCTGAGAAAGCTTTCTACAAAGTACAACACCCATTCATGATAAAAGCCCTTGAAATTCTTGGGATACAAGGAACATACCTCAACATCATAAAGGCCATATATGACAAGCCAACAGCCAGTATCATTCTCAATGGTGAAAAGCTGAAAGCATTTCACTTAAGATCTGTAACAAGACAAGGATGTCTACTCTCACCACTGCTTTTCAGTATAATACTGGAAGTCCTAGCCAGAGCAATAAGACAAGAGAAAGACATACAAGGAATCCAAATGGGAAAAGAAGAAGTTAAACTATCACTATTTCCAGATGATAAATATACATAGAGAACCCCAAAAACTCCACAGAAAAACTAATTCAACTAATCAATCAGTTTAGTAAAGTGGCAGGATACAAAATCAACATGAAAAAATCAGTAACCTTCCTATACACAAACAATAAATCTGAAGAAGAAGAAATAAAAAAAACCATCCCTTTTATTATTGAAACAAAAAAAAATCAAATACTTGGGAATAAATCTAACAAAAGAGGTAAAGGACCTATACAAAGAAAACTATAAAACACTGTTAAAGAAATAGAAGAAGAAACAAAGAAACTTTGGAGCTAAGAGTCCAATAGACAAAAGAAGCACCAGGCAAATGATCCCCAGAATCACTGTAGTGATTTTCCATAAAGATGGAGGAGGAAGATCTAGGAAAGAGATAAACATACCTTGTGACATCAGCCTAAATGTTTGTCAGAGTTCAGAAAGATATCCCCTGCTCGTGGACTGGAAGAATTAACATCATCAAAATGGCCATCCTATCAAAAGCAATCTACAGATTCAATGCTATTCCAATAAAAATTTCAATGTCATTCTTCAAAGAAATAGAACAATTATTGATGACATTCATATGGAATCACCAAAACCCCCAAATAGTCAAAGCTCTTCTGAAAAAAAAAGAAGGGAATGGAGGCATCACACTCCCAGACTTCAAACTATACTACAAAGCCATAATCATCAAAACTGCATGGTATTGGAACAAGAACAGACACACAGACCAATGGAATCAAATAGAAAATCCAGAAATAAACCCACAGATTTATGGTCAACTAATCTTTGACAAAGGAGCAAAGAATATGCACTGGAGCAAACAAAGTTTGTTCAGTAAATGGTGCTGGGAAAACTGGGTCACTACATGCAAAAGAATGAAGCTTGACCACTACCTCACACCATGCACAAAAACCAACTCAAAATGGATTAAAGAACTAGACATAAGACCTGAAACCATAAAATTCTTAGAAGGAAATATACGCGAAACACTACATGACATGTACCTCAAAGACATCTTTACAGACACATCACCCAAAGCAGTGATAGTGAAGGCAAAGATAAACAGCTGGGACTACATCAAATTAAAGAGCTTCTGCACAGCAAAAGAGACAATAACAAAAACAAAGAGAAACCCCACCTACTGGGAGAACATTTTTGCACACAACACTAATGATAAAGGACTGATCACAAAAATCTGCAAAGAGCTGATGAGACTCAACAAAAACAAAGAAAATAATCCAGTCAAAAAATGGGCAGAAGAGCTAAAAAGAAGCTTCTCTGAAGAAGAAATGCAAATGGCCAACAGGCAAATGAAAAGATGTTCAACATCACTTGTAATCAGGGAACTGCAAATCAAAACTACAATGAGATTATATCTCACACCAGTAAGAATGGCACATATTTAAAAAACGAGCAACAACAAATGTTGGCGAGGTTGTGGAGAAAAAGGAACTCTCCTGAACTGTTGGTGGGAGTGCAAACTGGCCCAACCACTATGGAGAGCTGTGTGGAGATTTCCTGACCCCCAACTAAACATAGAGTTTCCATATGATCCAGCAATCCCACTCCTAGGTATTTACCCAAATGACACAGAAACAGTAATTCCAAAGGGCACCTGCACCCCTATGTTTATAACACACTTTTTACAATAGCTAAGCTTTGGAAACAACCCAAATGCCCAAAAATAGATGACTGGATCAAGAAGATGTGGTACATACACGCAATGGAATATTACTCAGCAATCAAAAAAGATAAACACATGCAGTTTGCAGCAACATGGATGGAGCTAGAAGGGATCATGCTCAGCGAAATAAGTCAGAAAGAAAAAGAAAAATACCGGATGGTCTCACTCATAGAAGGAATTTAGAAAACCTAAATAAGAGACCAGGAAAAAGACTTATCAATACAAAGTAAAAATCAAAATCAACAAGCAACTGTAAACCAGAGACACACTACGGGGCGGGGTGGAGGGAAGGGCGGGGAAAGGAAGGACTAGAGCCAAAATAAGGGGGAGGAGTGCAATTGTATGGGTAATATAACCAAAATGAAAATGCATACACTGTGCAAAGATGAAAAAAAGATGTAGGAATTATATAAAGTAAAACATTTAGATTTTAAAAAAAGAGTTAATTGAAAGATGATTTAAAACACAGTCATTTTTCTCAAGAAACATCTGGCCCAGTATTAGCACAAAATTACAAAGAGCAAATAACTACTACGGAGTTGAGAAATGCAAGAATAGCTGATGATTAAAATATAGAGGCTATGAAGGTTTGTAACACTTAGCTGAAGAGGGAAATCAACACAAGAACATGGTGTTGGTGGATAAATAGGAGTTCACCGAGTAGAAAAGAGAGAAGAGAATTCCAGGCAGGAGAACAGGATATGCAAGAATTATAAATGTACAATGATATACTGTATTCAGAAATTAAGTAAATTTGATTGGACAGCGTAAAATGCAAACAAGGTACAATGAAAAAGGCAAGTAGGTGAAATACCAAGAGGGCCTTGAGAGCAATACCAAAGAGTTTAATTTTACTTTATATGTGATGGGGAGCTAGATTAATTAGGGACTTCCAAAGTAGAATGATCACAGGTTATTACAAACGTGACTGAAATAAGCTGAGTAATTAACATAGACAGGAAGTGAAGAATACAAAGCTATAGTTTCCTTTTGTCAATGATACTACTCAAAATGATAGATGACATTGACAAAGGTTTTAAAATGATAGGAGTGGATGGTAGAAGCCTCAAAGGGAAAAGGATTTTTGGATAAGTGCTTCTATTCTAAATGATGTTCACTGGGAAAGATAGCAATAAATATTTTAATTAATGAACAAAGTTGAAAATTAAAGTTTATCTTTTACAACGCCAATAACTATAAAAGCAGTAGTACTTACCTCCTTTGCACTCTTAATTTTAGTAAGAAATGTATGTAGCTCCATTGTTTCTGCAAACAGTGCACGACATACTGCCTGATAATGATGTGGTGCCTCTGATTCAGTTGGGAGATGAGCAGCACATAGCTACAAGAAAAGAAACAAAAATAATGGTGTTTGTTTATTATTTGGGCTTTTTGGTACCATAAAAACAGGTACATGGGCCTCCCCGGTGGCACAGCGGTTGAATGCTGGGTTGCGAAGCTGCCTGCGGCCTCTGCAGTGCCAGTTCGATCCCCGGCCTCATGGGTGAGGGTCCCAGATGGTGCGCAGACCTCTCCTGCTGCCCACTGCTCCCTCAGCAGTGTACTTCCTGCTCTGCTCTCACCTCTGGCTCTGGTGAATTCTCTCACCCTCCTGCGCTTCTGACTGTACCCAGTGCTTTATAAATTAAAAACAAAAACAAAAGCAAAAAAAAAAAAAAAACAGGTACACTCAGTATATTTTTATTTTCATAGCAGACAGCAAGATAATTTTCATCATCTAAAGCTTTTAATACAACACAGGGTCATCAGAAAAGTCTACCCAATTATATGGAAAAAGTGGAGCACTAACTTACAAAGTATTTAGCAATGCAAGTCACCTTTGTTTAAAGACACATATTGTAATGTGTGTAAATTCTATCACCACAGAGAGGGGGGAGATCCTATACTTCCAATACACAACAATGTAAACCAATGATACCTCAATTAAAAAACAAAAATAAACTATTACCACAGACAAAAAAATGGCATAATCAAAATTATATCTCAGATATTTGTATTATCAAATCACAGTTCTTAGGCGACAGTATTAGGCTTGGATATGTTCCGATAATCTATATACAACTAATAAAATTAAAAAAAAAGTCTTTAGGAACATTCAGTTCAACCTCCTCAAACTTGGCATTCAACCAGAAGGTAGCCACACGAGTTCAACATCAGTATCTGGAAGTGTTATTTCTATTCAGGGCCTATCCATCTCAGCCAAAGCATGATGCTCATCCACATGTGCAAGGTGTTCAGGTCTATAAATCCTAGTGTCATAAAAACTTTAAAAAGAAGAGCAATCCTAGCAAAATCAAGTGAACAAAAGCATTATGGAAAGCAGCTGGTAAAGAATTTATAGTGGCTAATTCATTTTAATTTGAAAAATATAGAAATGAACCTGTCAAATACCAGCACGAACTATGGAATAAAATTATTGGTGCAATGAAGAGAGTTGAAGAAATCAAACAGAAAATGCAAACTAAATTTATAATCAGTATGTTGAAGAAAAACAGAAAACTACACAAAGTTCAAGACATCAAAGAAGTCAAACAAAACATCCATTCATTGCAGGCCCCCCCCCTTAAAGGCAAAAGAAAGCAGCTCCAAAAAAAAAAAAAAAAAAAAAAAAAAATGGCGCAGAAATTACAACACAATGTGGACATGGGAGATGTTTCTTAAAAACCTCACTGCAAGTAGATTTGAAAACCTCTTTTAGAGACTGAAAATTTCTAAATTATTGTATTAATTTATTTTTTACATAAGGTTACTCAAATGAAAGATGATTAAAATACATCTACATTGCTATCTGACAAAAATTTATGTTTAGTGATATGCAAAAATACAATTTTCTTGGCAGTAATATCCCCTTTATTGTTACAGAAAGGGATACATCAGGGCTAACAAACTATATGATAATTAGTCTCAGGTATTATCTTTTGATTTCAGTGTTTGTTTTGGTTTATAATCATCTTAGAATATAACAGCCTCACATACTAAAGCCTGGTCATGTTGGATTGTTTGACCTACTTTAATGATTCTGGTAGGCAGGTGTGAGTGTCTGGGGTGAGAGCTGAATAGTTTGTTCCTGTAATGCACTATACCCTGTAACTTCCACTTTGGAGAACACTTAATTCTAACTTGAGATTCCTAGTAGTACAACCTTTATTTCTTCAGTTTAGCAATTATTTAGAAGCTGAGGCATCCAGTGACTTCAAAAGTTTGTCTGGGATTCTTTTAAACACCACCTAATTGTTTTTGGAAAGTCAAATTTATGGGTAGAACATCTATAAATTATTTCCACATAAAACTATTTCTGAACAAACAATAACAGTTCACAAAGCTTCAAATTTCAGTTACAAAAACCTAAGTAGAATATTATCTAAATTACATAATAATTTAAATGGTTTAGATTTACTGAGTGTAAAAAATGTATTATAAGAAATTAGTAACAAAAAGAAAATAAATACACAAAGTTCATTCATCACTAAATTCAGCACCATATAATTAATTAGTCAGGGTGAATTACTAAATTTTTGTCTAAATTAGTGAGGAAATTAGCATGTTCCCAGTGAGTTTCAAAGCTCTGAAGGACAGAGAATTGCAGTTACTTTCTTTGACTAATGAATAATGCTCACCCAATTAACCTATATTAACAGAGATCTTATTTCAACAACACACTCAAGCAAAACACTTTGGTTTTCCTTGAACATAATCAATTAATCTTAGGTCAAAATAATACATAAATGGAAAAAACAAACTTGTCCTGTTTCAGCTATTTCTAATACATGTGCATTTTGAAAATTAAGCAAACTCTGCACTGGACCAATCTTGTTTGGCATAGTAAAATTACTTATTTCTATTTTAATCACATTATACAATACTATTCTTTTTTTTTTAAGGTTTATTTATTTATGCATACAAAGAACTGGGGTATAGGCCAGAGACATGGTGGTGGTTAAGGGACACCAGAGACCAAGTGGGGAGCAGAACAGGCAGATCTACTGAAATACGCTGCTGAGGGGAGCAGAGGGCAAGACAGGAGAGGTCTGCTGCGCCATGTGAGTTAGCTCCCTGGCTGGGCAGGATTGAACTCCTGCTGCAGTGGCTAAGGATAGCTTGATAGTGCTGTGTCTTTAACCCCTGCTCCATCAGGGAGGCCCCATACAGTACTATTCTTAAATTTTTCCCTTGAGGAATTTTCAAAATAACACACAAATCCTGACATTATATGGCAAAACAAATTTGTCATCTTTTTATAACTAGGGCTTATTATTTGTAAACTATGTCCTTATATTTTCAGAATCATGCCAGAAAACATAATATATAAAATCATTCATGGGCAATAACATTTAATATTGCTACATTAAAATTTTACTTATAGTAAAAATGCTGAACAATAAGAGGAAATGAGTTTCTAAACCAAATGGTTCACCATTAATACACTATTTCAATTCATCAAGGTTTCTTTTATTATTTATGCATATGTTGGGAGATGCAGAATTATAGTTTTCAATTTATTCAAACAAAACTTACTCAACTCACCTGAAACATATATAATGTTATAATTCAATGTTACTTCAAATAAAAAAAATTCTCACATGGCTACATAATACACATAACTATAATTTTAAAGACTGTGCACTATACCATCTAGTTGACATACCACTTCTTTGTTTCCAGCTATAGAATCCAATAAATAATGCTGAATACACACCTTCACATATCTATGCAACATTTTCTTCTTTTAAAATTGTCTCCTTAGGGCCTCCCCGGTGGCACAGTGGTTGAGTGCTGGGTTGCGAAGCTGCCCGCAGCCTCTGCAGTGCCAGTTCGATCCCCGGCTGCTGGGAGAGGGTCCCACATGGTGCGCAGATCTCTCCTGTCCCCCTGCTCCCCTCAGCAGTGTACCTCATCAGTCTGCCTGCTCTGCTCTCCCCTTTGGCTCTGGTGAATTCTCTCACCCTCCCACGCTTCTGAGTGTACCCAGTGATTGTATAAATAAATAAATAAATCTTTAAAAAAAATCATCTCTTTAAAAAGTTTCTTTTTTAAAAAAGATTTATCTATCTATCTATCTATCTATCTATCTATCTATCTATCTATCTATCTATCTATCTATCTATCTATCTATTTTACAAGCACTGGGTACAGTCAGAAGCGTGGGAAGATGAGAGAATTCACCAGAGCCAGAGTGGGGAACAAAACAGGCAGACTGATGAAATACACTGCTGAGGGGAGCAGCGGGTATGGCAGGAGAGGTCTGCCGCCAGGAGAGGTCTGGGACCCTCGCTGGTGGCCGGGGATCGAACTGGCGCTGCAGAGGCTGCGGGCAGCTTCGCAGCCCAGCGTTCAACCGCTGCGCCACCAGGGAAGGCCCTCTCTTTAAAAAGTTTCTAAAAGTAGTATTAATAATACAAAGGATTACTTTGGGATACTTTTACATTATTTAAAGCATATGAATGATTTCAAACATTTACAAAACAGTGAAGAGTAAAATGAATTACCATTTATCCATTACCCAATTTAAGAGGTATCAAATCATGGTCAGCTCATTTTATTACATCTTTACCCATTCAGCTTTACCCTCCAGAATTGTTTTGTAGCAAATCAGAGACGCCTGAATTTCATATGTAAATACCTCAGCATACAGCCATAAAGATCAGAGTGCTTTAAAAAAAACTGTTCTTATATCTTAAAATATGAATAATTCCTAATATCATAACCTGTAAGAGTAAGAAATCAAATTTTCTGGACTACCTCAGGTATATACATGTTCTTACCGTTTATATCATTTAATTGGGATCCACATAACCTCCACATATCGCAGCTGGCTATTATATGTCAAATTCTTTTAAAATCCCTCCCTCTCTTATATTAACTGGTAATTATTTACTAAAGAACTTAGGTTTAGTAATTTTTTCCCCCAGTTTCTTACAATCTGGATTCTGCTGATGAAATCGCTATGGTGTTGTTTAAAATGTTTCTATGTCCCCTGAATTTTCTATAAATTGATAAATTAGTTAGCTCTAGAGCCTTGATCAGATTGACAATTGTATTTATTTACTTTTTGGCAAGAATACCATTAGGTGGTGTTGTATATACTTTTATCAGGAGACACATAAAGCCTATTGCTCTCTTGTGATGCCAAATGGTTACTGCAATTATTTCTTTAGAGTTAAAATTATCTTTTACAATCCCTATCATTCCCTTTCTGCTTGGAAACAATTTTAAAAAGAGAAACTGAACTATATGGTTACCCTGAGGTACTGTTCCTATGGAAAAAGCATGATGAATATTCTTTTACATTTATTTACCAATGTTCAAAGTAAGTTGGTTCCCTAACAATCTCCAATGGTGACCAATGAGGGTTTTATTGATTATCATGGAATTCAGAATATTTGATATGCTTAATCCATCAAAGACATTATTCTTATTGATGATCAAATTCTTTCATCTTTGACCAAAGGGAGCCTTCCCAACTTGACTTCTGAATCCCTTTAATACAATTTAGTAGTGTTGGACAATTTGTTTACTTCTGGTGTAAGATATTCTTGACAATTTTATATATTTCTTTGCAGATCTGGAACTATAGTCATTTTTATATAGAAGCCTTTTTTATATATTTCTTTGTTGGTGAATGGTATTTAGAGACCATAACTGTGTGGTATTTGTATTCATTGCCACTATATTGTTATTAATTTGTATGTTTTTTATGTGATTATGACTCCAACGTGATAAAAGTTCTGTTCTACTTGTTTTGGTTCTGGAAGGGGACTATTTTATTATACTTAATTTTATTTTACAAATACATAAAATATTTATATGGCTTCTAAATAAAATCTATGGAATCAAGACCTCAGAGATGCTTAGAATTAATAGCTGTTCTAAGACATCTTTACAGACACATCACCCAAAGCAGTGATAGTGAAGGCAAAAACAAACAGCTGGGACTACATCAAATTAAAGAGCTTCTGCACAGCAAAAGAGACAATAACAAAAACAAAGAGAAACCCCACCGACTGGGAGAACATTTTTGCACACAACACTAATGATAAAGGACTGATCACAAAAATCTGCAAAGAGCTGATGAGACTCAACACAAACAAAGAAAATAATCCAGTCAAAAAATAGAAGAGCTAAAAAGAAACTTCTCTGAAGAAGAAATGCAAATGGCCAACAGGCAAATGAAAAGATGTTCAACATCACTTGTAATGAGGGAAATGCAAATCAAAACTACCATGAGATACCATCTTACACCAGTGAGAATGGCACATATTAAAAAAACTAGCAACAACAAATGTTGGTGAAGATGTGGAAAAAGAAACTCTCCTGCACTGTTGGTGGGAGTGTAAACTGGTCCAACCACTATGGAGAGCTGTGTGGAGATTTCTGGACCTACTAAACATAGAGCTTCCATATGATCCAGCAATTCCACTCGTAGGTATTTACCCAAAGGACACAGAAACATCAATTCCAAACAGCACCTGCACCCCTATGTTTATAGCAGCAATATTTACAATAGCTAAGCTTTGGAAACAACCCAAATGCCCAAAAATAGATGACTGGATCAAGAAGATGTGGTACATATATGCCATGGAATATTACTCAGCATTCAAAAAAGATAAACACATGCAATTTGCAGCAACATGGATGGCGCTGGAAGGGATCATGCTCAGCGAAATAAGCCAGAAAGAAAAAGAAAAATACCGGATGGTCTCACTCATAGCAGGAATCTAGAAAACTTAAATAAGGGACCAGGAAAATGAATAACTATAAGAAAGTGAAAATCAAAATCAACAAACAACTATGAACCAGAGATACTCTATGGGTGGTGGGGGGCGGGGAGGGGAGGGACTGGGGTCAAAATAAGGGAATTGCAATTGTATGGGGAATATAAAAATAAAATTTATTAAAAAAAATACAAGCAAATACATATAAAAACATATATTCTTATCCATACTTTTTCTTATATAAATATTATCATACAATATATACTTATCTATTTATATAAACAATATGTCCTGGAGATTTTTCAATCTTTTTGATAGCTATATAGTAGTATACTATTTGGCTATGTCATAGTTAATTTAACTTTTAATAGACAATATGAGATATTTCCAGTCATTTGTTATTAAAAATACTGAACATGTGTAGACTTTAAAATATCAAATTATTTTAGATGAGGGCTATGTGAATTTACACTTGCAGATACCAATTATTGAGTGAAAAAATTTACCATTGTTTCAAATTTTAAACAAAAGTAAATTTTTGCTTGAGAGGAAAAAATCATATATAAAATTTGATAAATATATAAATATATATAATCACATAATTTTATATATATATAACTGAGTTCCAGTTCTTTCATAGCAAAATGAATACAAAAATATCTACCTAACCTACCACACAGTCTCATAAGGTTCAGAAAATAATGGATGTGAAAGCACTTTTCAGCTACAATATAATGGAGCACATTAGAATATGCTAATGTATAGGATTAAGAGACTATTCATTTAGTACATATTGTAATAGACGTAGAAATTTTTGTAGGTCAAATGTGGTAAGGAAGACAACCAAGAAACAAGAGATAAGGATATGATATTCTCCAATAAAATTCCTAAGGATGGAGTTGGTAAGCTCACAATAAAACCTGTCCTTTCAAAAACATTTTTAACAATTTTTCATATTATGATTGCAATAAGATAGGTAGGAGGGCAGTTTTTTTGAGAAAGTTATGATTTAATTATAAAGGTCATGTTGAGGCTGTGATCAAATCATAGAATCAGTGTATTACAGTTTCTTATTCATTTAATTTATATCTGACTATCATCAAATGTTGAATCATTGTTTAATGTTTTCTTTAAATTAAAAAACAATTCTAAGAAGAAAAGAATATTATATAAATCGCTGCTTTACCTTCATGACATCTCTATAGGACCTGATAGTTGAGATTGTTCTTTTTTCTTCTTCCCCTTCCAAGCCTTCATCTGCAGCCTCATAGCCTTCATCATTGCTACCATCAGCCTCCACTGTGTTGGCCATCTGATCAATAAGCTGCTCCAGGGGAGGGCTTAATTCCCTTTCTTCATTCTCTTTCAAACCATAGTCCAATGCTTTATAAATAATAATTCCCAAAGATTCAATAACCTAGAAACATTAAAGAAGGTGATTTAATGAAAAGCACTCAGTTTAACAGAACAAACTATAAGGCATCAAATAATTAGTATGTTATATAATCTACAGCTCATCTATTCCATTCTGACATCTATTCCATTTGACATGTGACAAATAAGATTTGAGGAGATATTTACAGCATTACATTTTATTGAGGTAATGTTGGTTTACAACACCATATTTTACACCTACTCAAATGTATGTTATACCACACCATAGCACACTCACCACCAACACACCTGTAATCTATTGGATTCCCTAACCCCTCTGCTCCCCATCCCACCACCCCTTCCTCTAGTAGTCTCAATTCTACACAGTCAGATTTCTAGGCTTTGTTTTGGTTTAGATTTGTCTGCTCTTTATGACCCACATAAGAGTTAATCATCAGTATTTGTCTTTCTCCTTCTCATTTATTTCACTTAGCATTAATCCCCCTAGTTTGATCTACAATGTCGCAAATAGCCAAGAGTTTGTTTTTTAAAGCTAACTAGTATTCCATTGTGTATATAATACCACATCTTTATCCACTCACCAGCCACCATTGAACATTTAGGTTGTTTCAATATCCTAGCTATTTTAAATAGTGCTACAATGAAAATAAGAGAGCATATATCCCTTTAAATCATCATTTTTGCATTCTTAGGGTAGATACCTACGAATGGAATTGGTGGGTCTACTTTTAGTACTTTGAGAAACCTTCACACTGTTTTATATAAGGGTTGCAGATCTGCTTTATGTACAATAACTGGTTCTATCAAATAATTACACCAAGGCATCCTATTGGTTATCTTCCCCAAAACACATTTAGATAAAATATTTGTACATATCAAAACATGAAACTTCATTTTGACTTCTGTTTTCTGGCCAGACACACTATTCATATTGTACATCAACTGAGTGAAGGCGATAAAAAGGGGGCTGAAAGAAACTATTACTGGGAAGAGTGAACTGTGTATTTTGTTTCGTCAGAATCACAAAGGAAACAGTAAATGTTGTACCTATCTCATAACTCTTTTAGTGTAATGTGAGAGGTTTCTGAACATCAGTGGTGACTGCATGTAAATGGGTAAACAGTCATGTGACCTGTGAAGAGCTTCATGACAGTGTCCTTTCTTCTGTGCCTCTCCTTTCTTGGGTTCTTGCTTGTTTTCAGTCAGGGTTGAACTTCATTGCATCTTCAGCCAGCATGGAGCAGTGCAGTTTCACAGGAGAAAGGCACAGTTCCTTATTGATATTAGTGTTTCTGAGGCTCAAGGCTTTCTTCACTGTCTTTCCTCTCACCCATTTGGTGCCTAATGAGTTTAGGCACAGCCTAGTATTTTAAACCTGGCATCTACAATCGTCTCCTTTTCATCTACTTGAATGTGTAATTCTTAAATCATCATATAACTATATGTTAGCGTCCCCACCAATCCAGTTCTGACATTTTTTAGATGTCTTGTCTAGGAAACCCATATTTCTAGGATTTTCATAATGATCAGTAACCTCCTTATGAGCTGGGCCCAGAGCAGCAGGGCTGACGCTGTCTCCCTCACATGGCTGATTCAGCTCCAATATCTTGTGGGCTTGCATCTGTGCATGCCAATGTGAGATCCTAAATTTAGGTTTACTTTTAAAGCTAAAAAAATTTAATCTAAAAATAAAATTTTATATCACCTAAAAATATTAAAATAAGTGTCCTAAAATATTTTATTATTTACTAACAAATCTTCCACTAGAAAGAAATAAAATTACAAAAGTTCTTAAATTACTTACAATTAAAAATTAAAATTTAATGGTTAAAAATCATAACTGAAATATAAAATTAAAATTAATAATGAGAGCTATAAAATCAAATAGTCAACAAAACATAAAAACATTTTATTAATGACTTAATCTCAAATTAAAACATTAATTTTAAAGGAAATAAATAACCCAATCAAGAAATGGGCAGAAGAACTAAATAAGCACTTCCCCAAAGAACATATACAGATGGTCAACAGGAAAAAATACTCATCATTACTCATCAGGGAAATGCAAATCAAAGCCACAATGAGATAACATCTCACCATTGTAGGGCCTACATGAAAAAATAAAATCCAGAAACAAGTGTTGGCAATGATGTGGAGAAAAAATTTTAATATTTTGAGAAAACTGTATAGAGGTTTCTCAAAATACTAAAAATGGGTCTACATACGATCCAACATCTACTGCTAGGTATCTATGCAAAGAATGTAAAAATTCTAATTTGAAGGGACATACGCATTCCTATATTCACTGCAGCAGTGTTTAAAATAGCCAAATTATGGAAATAAGCTCAGTGCCCAATATCAGTTGAATGGGATTAGAAGATATATATACACACAATGAAATGATTTGCTGCTATAAAAAAAAGATGAACTCTTGTCATTCTGACAATATGGATGAAACTGGAGGGAAATACACTAAGAGGAGTAAGTCAGAAGGAGAAAGACAAATACGGGATGATTTTTTCATTTGTAAAGAAAAACAAAAGAAAGGAACCGAGAAAACAAAAACAAATCCCTGACTGCAGAATTGAGGGTGCTGAGGGTAGGAGTTCAAAAATGAGGGTCAAAAGAAAGGGTGAAGGGGGCCCATCAGCCTGCAGGACTATGGGTGCTTTGATTGTGGAGGTGGTGCTGTAACATACATCTGATGATGTGAGAAACTATCCCCCTAAATCATATACAGTATTTTAAACAAATGTTACCTCTATAAAGCATAATAATGATAAAAAAATGCAATCTAAAATTCAACTCAATACCCAAATACTTAAACTCAATTAAAAATTCCAACAAAAAAATTTCATTCCATATAATCATTTTTATTCTTACTAAACTTATACAAATCATCCAAATTAAAAATAAACATAATTTATAAATTAAATTTATAATTATTTAATAAAATATATATCAAATTTCTTTTTGTAAACATCAAATTCTAGTTTTTAGTCATTTCAATTTTTTTCTTTTTTACCTATAAACTAAACCCTAAATTTTTCTAATATCTATGATTTTCCAAACTAAGTTTCCAATTTTTCCTAATCTTAACATAAAATCTAAAACTTTCCTTTCTAAAACCGCACAAACTAAAATTAAAAATCTTCACATCAGCTTTAAAATTTTGCTATATCAACCATAAATAATTCTCATAGTATTTTCTAAATTGCTAACATCAGAAACACTGTAAGAACCTTCCCCCCAAATCTATCATCAAAAGTACTTCAAGTCTCATATCTAAAAATCTTTTCCACTAACAGCAGTCAAAACTCCCAACTAAATTTTTGGCTTACTTCAACCTTTAATCTTTGTATTTCTTTTATTTCCATGAAAATACTTCCTATTAAACAAATACTTCCTATTTAAACAATTTAACCTTAATTTTAAATCCACCTATAAAACTACTTCCCAAAATTAAACACAACTATTTAAACTAATCTATTCTCAAAAGTAAAATATTCTATAAAATAAGCAATCTCACTGACTCCTTATAAATACTCACTCAAATTCACCTTTATATAACTTACTTAAATTCAAACTACAACTATTAATACATCTTTTAATCCTAAGGTTAAGCGTCTGGTTAATATATGGTATTATCTTAATTTATTTTAATAATCCCTTCAAATTCACATAATTACTCAACATGTATTTTCAACCCAGGACACATAAATATTTACAATTAAATGCAAAATAGTTCTATCCCTGAAATTGTAACTTAAGCCCCCTTCAACCTAAAATAGCCAAAATGTAACATTACCACATAAAAATTCCTCAATTTGTATATTCCTCAAAAAAAAATATACAAAGAGCCTCCTTGGTGGCGTAGGGGTTAGTCTCAGGGCTATTATCACCACTATGGCCTAAGTTCAATCCCCAACCAGGGTGCTAACTCACATATGGCTAGCAGACCTCTCCTGTCTCACCCACTGCTCCCCTCAGTAGTGCATTTTCAGTGGATCCACCTGTACTGCTCTCATTTTGTCTCTAATGAATCCTATCCCCTCCCCCACACCTCTGACCCACACCCCAGTTTTTCTATGTATAAATAATCTTAAAATACACACACACACAACTTAGGGAATTAAGTTGGTTTCAGACTCTAACAGCACAAAGAGAGGAAAAAATTATCTAAGCTTTTCTCTGAGACTTGCTTTTGTAGACACGGCAGAGTCTAGAGGCTTACCAACTAACCTGAGCCAAGCTTCAAGGTCAGTTGAAGTTGGGAGACAGAAACGTAAACTAGGGCTGCGTAGAGGTGAGAGGCTAACAACAAAAATTTGAAGCCTCAACTACTGTAAAAAGCCTCTTCATATTTCTTCATGTATAAACTTTCCTGTAAGTAAGCAATAAACTTAAACCAAATCCATATTTCTTTGCCTCTAATCCACTCTTTAACCAATAAAACTTAACTCCTTTGTTCTCAATTCTGGTCCCCCAAACCTATATAATCTAATTACTTTTTTTAATAATTTTTTAAAAAAAATTTACCTCCTGTATCCTTGCCAATCAATTCATTATAAAACTCAGTATTTCCTCTCAAAATCCCTGATGTCATAAACTAAATATGCACAAATAACAAGCCCATTTACATTGTAGCAATACAACCCACCAATTTCACCTTTATTTACCAAAGAGAAATGCATATATGTCACTAAAAAGACACATATATCGCTCCACCTTTATTTCCGACAGCCAATAACTAGAAACCATCCAATTGTTAATTAAGATTAATGGATGAATAAATTGTAATATATTCACATAATGGACTACTATCCAGCAATAAAAAGTAACTATTACTATTCTACACAACACAGATGAATCTCAGACATTCTGCTAAGAAAACAGTGAACACAAAAATGCATTCTATATGATTACATTTATATGCAGCTGGTGGTGTGGGGCAGAAGGACTAAGCACAGAGGGGACTTCTGGGGGATAATGAAATAATTATGGTGATGCTTACACGGTGTA